CTCCTGCTGCTGATTTTCACCTTCTGTTTCTGAACTCTCCTCGTCCTGGCTTATGAATTGTTGCTTGGTTCTTCAACAGAATTTTGGTGTTGAATATCACCAAACTGGCGAGGTTGACGAGAAGGTTCGGCGGTAACACCAGGGATCTCATCTTCTACACTAAAAAGAGTCCATTCGACTAGACGATCTATCCATCTACCAAGGCCCAACCCACGCTCACGGGTCAAACGTTTCATTTCAGCTTCATCCACCTCCTCTTCATCGTCTGTTTCAGAATCCGAGAATTCTGAGGTTGACACCGAATATGAGGAATCAAATGCGGAATTTCGTCTCGACACGGTCTGATATACCCCGTCATCGAAATTGTGGTCCCCTCCGTGGCTTGGCGTGTTTACCTGGCTAATGTGGCCGGGGGACATTGCGGCCATTTCGCTGTGTAAGCTCTCATCGACAAAGTCCGGGACAAGTCCCACAGAATCATCGGATATTGAAGCGCGATCTTCAGAGGTTTGCTCAGTGAGGCCGGCTGCTGTCATAGAAAGGTCTGCTCGGCTGCCAAATTTGCTGGCCATATGGGAATTGGAATTGGAGGCCCGCCGTGAGAGAGCAACGGGCGTTGATAGTCCAGATCGCTGTCTCCGACCATAGTTACGATGTGAAAGATGAGAGTAGCGTCGCCGCTCCTTATCTGGAACTTCCTCGGATACAAGACTAGTTGAGCTATCTCGCTTCACAAGCCAACTCTGTCCTTTTTCTTCACGGGTGGAAGACGATAACGCCAGTCCTGCTCGCAGGAGCCACTCAGAATCCTGGTGGGTAGCAGGGCTATATAATTTTGGTCTCAAGGTAGTAGAACTTTTAGACCTGCGGTGATGGCGAGTTTGCTCGGAGTCCATGTTGTCCAACTTTGTACGACTCATTCGGGACAATGTTGGGGTGGTTTTTCGTTTTGAGAGGTTAGTATATGAGGTGTTGCGAGACAGTATCGGCGGTGTTGCAGGAACGGAAGCACTGGCAAGGTAAGACGATGTAGCATGGTGAGGACTATATGGGAATCGCCGGGAGGGTTCCCGCTCGTCATCGTTTGAATAAATGTAATCGGGATCAGGTCCATCATCCCCATCAAGAGGAAATCTGGACGTCAATGGTGCAAGTGAGATATGATGAAGCGAGGTATGGGAACGACGAGAACGAAAAGAGCCCTGTATGTAAGACTGCGATAAAGGCTTTTCTGGATTTAGCAAACAATGTAAAGTGCTATGAACTTGAACGCATTGGCTGGTGCTCATACCTCCATAATTGAACCAGAAAAGTATAAAACAAACAATACAACTTGGCTGTAAAAGATCGATGACTTTGGAAAGAAGAATGACACCCTGATGGGCGCCTGAGGGGTGGTCCGTAGTATGCTGAAATTAGCAGACAGATTATGGCCGGTGGATGAATTACTCGGGCCACAGGAAGCGAATGTACAAGTGGAGGTTCTGTCTCCAATCGATGCAGAAATGAAAATTGTTTGACCGAGATTCATCGCTTGATCCAGGTCCAGAGCCATGGATGAACGGTGTTCAATAAAGTCACGTGATATAACCAAAACCCAGCTATTCGACGTCAGATTGCTAGGAACGGCAAGACAATGACTCACTGGGTCTATCAAGTTTGCAGTGAGAGGAAAATCCTACGGAGAAGAGACACAATGGTTGAAAAGTGGAGTGGATAGGTGAAACCTGTTCCACGCAAAAAGGTTCCAGAAGAACGTGGATGGATTCAAGTAATGTATAACGGCTACTTTTCATTTCGGAAGACTGGATGTGTTATACGATTTGGCCCCTGTTGACTACAAACGCTTCCAACGCTGAAATCGCTGCCCACAATCGATTTTCTGCTTCGGGGAATACCAGGGACCGACTCTTATCGTAGAACACTTCGTCGTTCACCTCCTCGGGATGTCGAGGAAGACAATGCATGAACCGCCAGCCCTCTTTGGCACCCCCACGCTTTGCTAGATCAGAGGTGATCTGGAAACCTTCGAAAGCTTTGATTCGCTTTGCTTTCTCAGTTTCCTGTCCCATAGACACCCAAGTGTCTGTCACAAGAATGTCTGCATCCTTGACGGCTTCCTCCGGAATGTAAGTGTGAGTAATGTTTCCTGGGGACTTGACCCCCCCTCGAGCTTTTTGGATAAGGTCCTTAATATGCGAAGGCATTTCATAGCCCTTGGGCGTCGCGACAGCCATGTCAACGCCAAGTTTGGTAGCCCCGATTGCCATATCAAATAAAACATTGTTCGCATCTCCAACCCAGGCAATTTTTCGTCCCTCAAGGCCGAGACTAGAATTCGACGGAGTAACGTTTTGCGGAGGCGGGAAAGCTTCATGGATAGTCAGGAAATCGGCGATAGCTTGCAATGGGTGGAACGTATCGCAAAGAGCGTTGATGACAGGCACCGTCGAGTGTTTGGAGAGTTCCGCGATATCGGAATGTGGGCCAACCCGGGCCACGATGCAGGACACCATCGAAGATATTACTACTGATGTGTCGTAAAGTGACTCATTCACGCCAAGCTGGATATCGTCCTTCCCTAGAAACATCGGGTGTCCGCCCATAGAGACCACTGCTGCCTCTGTTGAAACGCGGGTTCGAGTACTTCGTTTGGAAAACATCATGGCGATAGTTTTGCGTGACAGCGACCCGTTAAGCGATTCTGGTATCGAACCAGACTTCATGGCATGTTTATGTGTCGAGGCATTGCGGACAAGTGTCGTAAACTCAGAGGGTGTCAGGTCTGCTACAGAGAGCAGGTGGCGCGGGCCTGCAGCACTTGTGGAAGAAGATTGTCGCAATTGCGAACCCATGTTGCGGAGAGCCCTGGCTGCATTTCGGGATAACAGCATTATGAAAACAAGTTAGAAGACAACAGGAGATAAATCGATTTGAGGACTGTGGTGACTTGTAATAAGCTGCAGGGGATTGGTGAAGTACTGGGTTATGCTCTAAAAAAAAAAAAAAAAATAAAGAAAAGCAAAGAAAAAAGAACAAAAAAAATGCACTAAGTTGGAGAAATACCGAACGTGGAAAGGGAGGCCTGAAAGAATATCAGATATGAACTGGAAATCTTTCTGAAGGGATTGAGGTTGATCCAATTGAAACTTGCCAGGGTGAGCTGTTATCCCTTCGATGACTGACAGGGCGTCATCTTCCTTGTCAATGATCCCCGAGCTACAGTCACAGATGGAGATGACTAGAGGCGGTTATCGTGCGAAACGCGGGCAATATTACTAGTGGATCGTATTTTATTATAAGATATTATTGGCTACGATTTACCGAAAACTAAAATGTCGAACAATTTGCCGTCAAATTTATTGGTCAATACACCAAGACACTTTCAAGATTCCAAGGTTACCAGCCCTGGAGATTCCAATGATCCTACGAGGTAATTACCAATTTTGGAAACAAGCTGAGTCATCACTTCATCCAACATCGCCAGCCATGCCTTGGACTGGATGGTCTTGGAAGACTTCAAGTTCAAATTGTTATCTTCCGGAGGTGAGACGCCAAATCTTCTTTCATCAAAAGCTGGAAGAGCCGGCCCATGTTTCTTTGGAGATAGTATTTAAACTACCGTTGTTGCTCAGACTGTAGTTCGCAACCACCATGGCTGGGGACTCGGCAGACGAATGTGCTCCTCTGCTCCGTGGGAATACGGGGGACCCTGATGCACATCCCTCTGGGGCGTGCTCTATTTGTTCGAAGGGGAAGCCCAAAGTCTCGTCATATGAAAATCCGTCGGAATCCACACCCCTTCTCGCTGATGGAGCAAGTCAAGAAATCCGATATTTGGGGGATGTTGGCTGTCCACCATCGTCCTCCCATGAGTCATCTTCAGTCCGGTCGTCCACAAAACAGGGAAAGAGATGGATCACCCCACCTTCATCTGTCGCACTGCTAGGCCTTGTGCTGACGATAATAGCAGTTCTTGGGCTAGGCTTTGCGAGCCCAACTATTATCAAACAATATACTGAGAGCGCCTCAGTTTTTAAGGCGACTGATGTGTCCGTCAATTCGTTTACACCGGATGGAGTGCAGGCCAGAGTTCAGGGCTCCTTTGTTCTCGATGCGTCACGGGTGCCAACGAAATTTGTACGTGATCTTGGGCGCTTTGGAACGTGGTTAGCAAGAGAGATCAAAAGCGACGCGACTGAAGTCCAAGTTTATCTTCCGGAATACGGCAACATCTTGCTGGCAACTGCGACCATACCACCGCTGAGAGTCAGTATCCGTGATGGGTACACAAATAAGATCGATTTTATAACGGACTTGAGACCTGGGGATATGGCTGGAGTTCGAGCTGTGGCGAACGACTGGCTCCAAGGCCGCCTTGGCCAGCTGCGCGTTAAAGGAGTTGCTACAGTGCGTCTGAGTTCCGGCGTATTATATCTCGGATCTCAGACTATTGTGGAGTCGTTTGTTTTCCAAGGTCAATCCTTGTATAGTTTTTTCAGGGTCCCGAGCTTAAATTAGACATGTTTAGCTAATATTTCTTATAGACCAAGCCCGCCACGGTTTCCCTAAGTTCAACATCACGAAGTTGGACTTTCATGAAGTCGCGACACCAGGACATCAAAAAGCCATGGAGGTGGACGTTTCAGTGCTTGTCGTCAATCGGTATCCGGTCAGGCTCACTATGCCACCGATGGGCTTCAAAATTTCTCTACCAAACTGTTCTCCTAGCGACGCCTATATTCTAGTAGCTAATGCTACAACGGACCTAGTTCAAATCGTCCCTAATAAGCCCGTGAATATCTCTGCTAAAGGTCTCATTGGTCAACTTTCCAATGCCTTGACGACTGTTTGTCCTGGTACCAACTTTTCACCTTTAGATATTCTAGTTGAAAATTATATCAGTGGGCAAGAATCGAAAATTTACATTGGCGGAGGAAAATCTCCTTCATCTAATTTGCCAAGTTGGATAGAAGGCTTTCTGAGAAACGTTACTGTTCCTGTACCTTTTGCAGGCCGTGCGCTTGGTCATTTAGTTCGAAACTTTTCAATGACCAACGTTCATTTCTCCCTACCAGACTCGCTCGCTAAACCTAATACACCTGAAGCACAGCCTATGGTTTCCGCGTTGGTCAAAGCAGTAATCGGTCTTCCCAGAGGGATGAACTTTTCGTTAGATGTCTCTCACGTTCGGTCCACCGCATATATTTACTATGAAGGAAAAGAGCTTGGTTTCATAAATATAAAGAAGTGGCAAAATTTTACCGCAACTCGAATCGAGGACGGGCAGCCTCCGTCTGCAGCGTTACTACTCCAGTTTGATGTCAAGAAGGCGCCATTGCAAGTCACCGATGAGAGCACTTTTTTGAGCGTCGTCCAGGCTTTACTACTCGAGCGCAAACCTGTTCGTTTACATGTAAAAGCAAAGGTGGATGCAGAAACAGACACTGCTATTGGGAAATTCATAATCCGAGAGATTCCAGCCAGTAGTAACATTACTGTGAAGCGTACGTTTCAGATACCATGGTTGTCGTAAATTTATTGCTGACATGTCATCTCGTCTAGCGCCCATGAGCGGAGGATTTTCGGACTTCAAGGCTACTGTGGAGACCATAGAAGTAGTAGAAACTACAGAGTCATCTATTCTTCTTGGATCAAAATTGAAATTCACAAATCCAACTGAGTATTCAGCGGACATCCCTTTCATAAATTTGCGAGTTGCGCACAACGGAACCAACGTTGGCCACGTGACTGCTCGAAACCTTTCGATATCACCAGGATTGAATTCCGGCATTGAAATATTTGCTCTCTGGGATCCATTGCAGTTTGGTGGGAAGGATGGAATTGCTGCTGGCCAAGACCTGATTTCTCGTTTTGTTTCAGGTTGGTTAACCATACTTAACTATTCAGCTTAACAACTACTCTAACCCATTTTTAGGGTTCAATACTTCCATCGCCCTTAAGCCGCATCGAGACATGATTCCCGTTCTCCCTAACTTAGGGACGGCATTATCGTCTCTGGAGCTGGACATTCCGGTTCCCAAGCTTGGGGCACCAGAGGATGATGGTCAACCACACTTCATTAAAGATGCAACGGTATTGTCTGCTCTTGCCGATATTCTTTCTGAGCAATTTTCTACCATGTAAATCAGACGAATGGTGCACCATTATCTGATTGCTCTCCCTACCTAAGTTTCACGTGTGTTCTACCACGCAAGACAGTGACAAGGACTGACTTGTATATCCTTGGTCTTGGTAGTTGTACTTGTGGTCTTCGACTGCGGCATTCACCTTGGCTTCACCACTCTCGTCTACGACACTTCTCATTACCTCCATTGATGCAACAGCATTCTACAATCATAGTGAGCCGGTAGGAAAGATCAAGTATGACCATCCATTTAAGGTACCGCCTGGGACTTCCCAAACACCCCGGCTGCCGGTGGAGCTAGATCTTGGCGGCGCAGGATACGAAGCAATCCGCGAGGCATTAGGAGGGACATTAAAAATGGATGCCGTCGCTGACGTCGACGTGCAGCTCGGAAACTATTCGAATACAGTGTTCTACAAAGGAAAAGGGATCGGCGCGAAGATACGGATATAGATCAAGGTTTCCTCAGCATACGAAATGGATTTTCTGGGATAATCTCGCTGGTTTCTCCTTATCTGTTATGGAGTAATATGTTGGAGTTTTGAGGTTAAAATGTCTCTCGTGTGCCGGGAAGGGCACTTCCAGGGGATTGATTTCATTGGCGTTTAGATGTGTTTCCTGGAGGATAACTCCGTAAAGCTTTCACTACTTTTTGACTTTTTTTTTGGGCGTTGCATATCTATACGTTGGGTGTGTTTTAATGCTTTTTGTCAATAGGCACTTGAAGAACTCTTTCTCGCCATTCCCCACCTAGCCATCATTTATCCTATGCTTTATCGATGTTTCTCCCATGATGTTTCCATTCTGTGATGTGTGGAGTACGGATTCAAAAAAACGGGGGGGAAATTATCCTGCTTGTAAGACGCTAAGAATCAGAAAGAAAAGGGTTTTGGATGGATAAATAAACTCTCTCAGTTTTGGCTCTGGTATCATCCCGTGTCCCTCGCAGCATTCTTATAGCATTCCCAGCTGCCAGCCCTGCTCGTACACGAATAAGAATCATTCCAACTCATAAGTCTTGCAAGGATGAGCTTCTGATCGTGAGCGCCCTCAAGATGATGACAATGAGAGAATGTGAAGTACCAGTCGGTCATGATTGTCGTCTGGCGATGAGATTTGTCACGATCTTTCCAATATCTCTGCGAACTAGACACGTGGACGAATGGCGGTAAGTCTTCCTACTCCTGGACAAACCATTCTGGGTTCCATCTCACCTAGTGTCGGCCTTATTTGCTGGATTTCCCGGCCAGGTTCCTTCACATCGGTTGCCAATGTCCAATCGATTTTGATCTAGAGACACCGGCCTCACCTGCAAGCGAAATACCAAGTAATCTCCTACGATGTACATACTTCTCGTCTCCTCGGTGCTGACTGTATAAGTTCCCTGTCAGAGACTCACTGCGCAAATAACAACTATTTGATGTCATAGCTGCATGTTACCAACCACCGACCAACTGGTATTATTAGAGTTGACGATTATTGATCCCCTCTTCTTCCCATTCGAATGTTTTTTTTTTTTTTTCACCTGTGCACCGCCGAAATCATCCTGTCCTGCTAAGATGGCTCCTCATGAAAGTCCTGAAGCCACTGCGCATCTGATCCACTGTATGATATCACCAACTTTTAGTGTGGTGATAAAGATAGAACCTATGATAGGTGCTTCGATATTTTCGCTCTAAGTAGTCAAAAACATGGAGAAGTGTTTAGGAATCACACGTGGTTTGATAGAGGACCTCTTGTCTAGTTTAAACCTGGCCACCCGGCCTGCTTACTGGATGGCAAGGGATTGCTTAGCATACTTCTATACCCTCGCGCCTCGTCCAACTGAGCCACGGATAATAAGCTTAAGAGGAATATTACAGAATACCAGCAAATTCATTTGACCATAACAGCTAAGGATGGCAAATTAACTACAGTCCAATCCTCACACAAACCAGGTGACCTTATGCTTTGAACCCATCTTTCATTGTCATATAGTATTACTGCTATGGCTGCTAGTCTTCCCATACTCAATCATTCAAAGATGAAATTACCCTGGGATTCAGAAACCGCATGCTTGGGCCATAATCTGCGCATGGCCATTTGACTCGCGGCCACGAGCATATGACGTACGTTTGCAGATGGGAGTTTGTCTCCACAATCAGACTTGGCTCGTCCAAGGCCATGCCCTCTGTCGTTGCATCTGTTTTGCCAACGGCTGCTGGTCTCACTGGACAACAACGCCTCTACTTTGTCATTGGCCCGTCCCCTTCTCTTCCATTATTTCCGACTGCGATGCCTATTGCATCCTCCGTCGTTGGGCAGCGATAGGCATGGACGGCAACCTTTCCACTTCTCTCCTCCTTTGATGCCGCCGCAGACTCTCTGCCCGAGATTCAATGGTCAATCCTTGTCTCGTTTGCTTCTGATATCTGCGGTACTACCCTCCGCTTCAGCTGCCAATGTTTCATTGACATATTATCATCTTCACTGCATTTTCTTTTAAACTTCATGCTCCTCCTTATTCTGCTAGATGACGTCAGAACAGACAGTCCTCTATGCCCGAGCGGACACGGGGGTTCGTTCTTATCTCCATTCTTGGCAGGTGACTGAGTCGTTTTGACAAGCATGTCTCTGCCTTGGTATGACCGGCGTACTCCCGTATTTTCATGGTGTATATAATCTACACCTCTGCCCCTAGCTCAATTCTGGAGTTTATGATCTCACTCTTTAACACATAATCGCTTCAAATCCAGCTATACGTCTAATTCTTCTGTTTTGGGTGGGTAGCACAAACTTTTTTTCTTTGTTTGCCATGACTGGAGTGTGATAAGTTAGTATTTTGTCTCGGAGAGCAAACAATCCAGGTCGATTATATTTATATTGAGTTACCATCAACATTATTTCAACTTGCAATCGGGATTCTACAAATCATTCTACAAACTTTTCGATAGGGCACGATCAACTTTCTCCGAATCTTTCAAGCCAGAACACCTCATATTCTCCCTTCTCCTTCATTCCGAAATTTTCACATAAATCTCCTGAATTCCCAAGCAAATCCGTCTACTCGATATCAGTCTTGCCTTGATTTTTCGTGTAAACTTCCGACTTACTCCCGGAGGACTATCGATATCTGTCTTGTCCACTCCAGCGACCTGAAGAGGATTGCGAGTAACAAAATCAAACGCAAAGAAGAAGAGAGCAATAGATTCTATCATATTCCCCAAATCTGTGATATATCCCAATATCGACATACTGTCGGCCCGTGTTTTCTTCCATTTTGGCATTAACCAGCCACGAAACGGTACTATTGAGCGTGGTATCGTTCCTCACAGCCATGTGCAAGCACCTCGTTATCTATAAATGTGGAGCCATAGAAACGGTTTTCTCCCAGGAGTGCACCTGCACCAGGAAGACAGGAGAAAACTACAGCCCCTTGTACTGCGGAATCTGCGAGAATTGCCAGGGTGGAGATGGTTAAAAGTGAAGGATGTCGAACATGTCGATATGCGGTCTGTTGGGAAGACGGGATATGCCCCTGGATGGCTGTAGGGTTAATTCCCTATGGGCTGCTCTCGATGAGCACAGACGGCTGACCTTAAATTGGATTTTGGGGTTTTTTTTTTTTTTTTTTTTTTTTTTTTCCTTTAACCTTTTCTTTCTTTATGGCCTTTGTTTTGTGCTGTCTACGACCTGCCCTTACTATGCTGTTTATGTTATTTTCCGTTTCTCTTGATTTTTATAACCTTACTTGGTATTTTTTGATACCCTAACGATATCACGATGTTAAGATGTTATGAATAAGAGAAGTACGTTCGTATTGTTTTTTCCTCTATTCAACCGCTACGGCAATACATGAACAGAAGGATTTTTATGTGGGCCCCAGGCTGCTACCTGGAAAACGCTGAAGATCGAGATGACTATTCTTACTTCCATCATATATGTATGGGTTTCTATCATTTGAGTTGGGATCTTACAGCTATCATACACCTTCCTTTTTTGCTCTGCAAAGAATAGCTGTTTATAAAGAAGTTTCAATTTTT